TTTGGCAAAATCCTCAAAAGACCACTGTATCGAGATGGCTATTACTAACCCCATCCCCTACTTCTTGTGCAAAGAAAATCTCATCCTGCAAGTGACATACAAGATTCAGCTGAGCTTCCAGCTGGGCTGGCTGCATTAGTAGCAGCCACAGGTTGCTCTGTATAACTCCCTAAAACAGGTAATTTCTCAAAATCGGTATGTTCATAGATGTAACATTTCCAGCTTGGAAGAAAAGAATAATAAAATAGACAGCATATTGAAATCATTTGTCACAGTGATTCTTAAATGTTGTTTCATTTTTTCATTAATAGACTTCAGGTATAGTATGAATGCAAAAAAAAAATTTCAATATAAAACCCATCCAAATAATTTAACAAGTAGTGCTTAAATGAGAGACGGAGGGAAGCATGCCTAAGGTGGGGCTTGAAGGCAAACTCAGAAGAAAAAGAAAGACATGAATGTGTAGAATAATACTGTCTTGGAGGAGAGAATTAGTATGGACTGTTCAAGTGCATGAGCAGTAACTAAATTATATTTGTAAATAAACAGATTCTTCCACTTCTTCAAGGAGCATTAAGCTGGAAATGAGCTCAAAATAAGACTGGTGATTAGTGTAAAACAAACGCATTTCTGACAGGTAACCACCATTTCTGTTTGGTTGTTTTAGTCATGATGCAGAATAGGAATGGAATTCAGTTCTATTTGCACATCCATAAAATGCAGATTCAAGTCTAGGATATGTCTGAGACATATGGCATGATTTTTTTATTGTTTAATTGCCAAAATTTTTCATTATGCAGTGTAGATTGATAGAGACCGAGTTGTACCAGAAGAAATTTCTGAAGGTAGATGCTGTCTTGAGCACATGTTTAAACTGTAGAAGATGTAGGGGCATGAAGATGAAACCTTCTGAGCATCTTCAATTTCTTTTGATGTCTGCATGAATGAAAGTCTGGGGTCATAATTTTTAATAGTGACATACTGAACATTTTGAGAGTTTAATATTCCTTTTTTAAAACTACCTTCATTATGAAGCATGTAAAGAAAGAACTAGAACCATATTTTGCTATGGGTACCTATATACATCTTTCAGGTTTTTTATTTGTTTGTTTTTTTAGTACAACTACAACAACAAAACAATGGTCAAGCCAAGATGCATTCATTTCAAACTATAATGATATATTTTTAGCTGCATAAAGCAAGAAGATAATGGCTCTTTTCTGTCAATGCACCCTCATCTTCCTTTTTAGCTACATTAGGAATGTTATGAAATACTTTCTTGCCTTGCATTTCTAGAAAATAAGTTTTTTCTCACAGGCAGATGATCTCAATTTTCATGTGCACTCTTTCTCCCTCAGAGAAAGACGCATGTTTATAGACAGTCCCAGTAGGAAACCCCACGTTGTTCTTGATAAACCCAAGACTTCCCTCAGTAATAGAGCTGTCCATCCTATGGCATTTAATTCTATTCATATAATCATAAAGACTTGTTTGGTCATAATTTGAAATACATTGCATGTATTTTTCCTGTGTGCAGTCCTCATAACTATCATACTAGAGACTTGGATGGAAATTCTGCTATGGATGATTTTTAGAGCTCTGCCATGCAAAGGGTCCTTGGCCATCAAACTACAAAAGGGAAAAACTATGCTAAAATAGTAGTTTGTTAGGAATAAAAAAGCATGGTTTTTATTTTTCAATATTAATTCAGAAGTTTCAGTTTCTTTTGCAGCTTGGCTCATTTTCTTCTTTGGCCCCAGCTGATCAGTGTATTGGATGCCATTTGGTCCCACCAGTGTTTGAAATTCTTAATTATCCTTTCTAGCTTTCTGAAATTGTGTTTTAGTTCTTGACATTCACATACTGTAAATATAGCTCTGTCCAGGATGAATTCCATTTAGCAGACAATGCTTGACAGCCCTAGTAAATTCAGAATGATCTATTAATTCATCAATATGTGTGTATAATTTCCATTAAGCTCAATAAAATTTGTGTACAGCTGTAATAACTAGAGTCTTTTAACACTTTAGTGTCTTACTAATTGCCAGCGAGGTTTCACCAGTAGACTGGATGCCTCCCCAGGTTTTAAGGCTCTGGAAGTGTTGATTTGAAAAATAAGGAAGGATTAATTTTCTTATGGGAGTAGCTTTGCTGGAAGATCCTCCTTCTGCACATCTTGGGAAGTGTGTCTGTCCCAGTCTGCTAGGGCACTTTCCTAACCTGTAGTGTGTGCAGTGCAGATTCCTGCTGGCCCAAGTTGCAGGCATTTTCTGGTTGCAGGGTAGGGGTGATAAAGCTTGCAGTTGCCCTGCTCCCATTGCAAGAGTGTCTCACTGCTTGCCTAGGAACATCCTCACATTTACACTCTGGAAAGAAAAGGTTAGGAGGAAGAGTAGAAGAGAGAAGTATCTAATAACTTCATATTGTGCCCTAACACAATTTGACCATGTTTTCATTTCAAAGGTTAATATATTCAACTTGGATTTGTTGAATCATGTAAAGTAATATTTCAAAACATCCTCCAGGAAAAAAAGAAAAAAAAAAAAAGAAAAAAAAAAAAAGAAGAGTATATATATGATGGTTAGCTTATTTTATAGGACTAAAAAATGCCTGAAGATCTTTGTAATGATTTTTGTGTGACAAAATCAGTCAAAGTTAATGATTTTGCAGGCCCCAGTTGTGGTTATATTAAAAATAATTGCATTACCCTTGCACAACTCATTGCTGTTGCTACATAGTTTAAATATTTTATGTAGTTTTTAAGGACTGATCCTATTCCGAGGTGGGGAAAAATGAAATAATCTGTGCCATTTCTTCCATCTCAAACCACAAGGAAACTTTATACTATCACCATTATTGAGATACTCATCAATCAACCTGCTGAATCTTCCTGTTTTGACTTCTTTTATCCTTTATAATTATTTTTTAAATGCATGACTATTCGTGAGCAATTTGAGTATGTTTTTGAAAACCTCAATTAGCATATGCTAAAGAAGTGTGAAGTTTGAACATCTCAGATAATGTCAGATTTTTGTCCAGTGGAGGACTCCATGAAATGGGTGATATGCAAGTATATATGTATAAAAATATAAATGGATGATGTGCAAGTATATTGCTTTTGTTGTGCTTGTTGGAAGGACCTTAAAAAGCAGAAATTTAGTTTGCAAAATGGTCTGCTGAGCTTTAAATACTTACTCAGAGAAGCTGTTTATTACTTACTCAGGTGAATAATAAAGGCCAATGAATACTGAAAGGGCTGCAAGATCTCAGAATGAAAGCAATAGGATTTTTTGCCTGTCATGGTCAGAAGTTTTTCTTTTTACAGTGAATATATGCAGTCAGTTTCTGATACTATATCAGCACTATCACTTTTGCTGTAGCTAAAGAACAGAAAATGTAGGTTTACAAATTTGAAAAATTGTGGGATATAGAGCAGGCGGAGAATGGAATATGTTAACAAGAAAGAAGTCATGGAAAGGGGCAATTTTGAACTAGTTTAATGGCACCAGTTAATATTTTGTTCTTAGTTAATTCCTCAAAACCTCACATATCCTAAACACCAAGAAGTGTTTGTGGGTATAAGGAATGGGGAGGGCACAGCAGGAGGGCTCAGGATGACGCAGAGAAGAGGTAACGGAGTCTCTATGGGAATGTTTATTCTTTCAAAACCAGAAATAAGTATAATGACAGCATTCATAGTGCACTTTCTCATTCCACTTTTGCTACAGAGGTATTGGCATTACTTCTATGAAAGCATTAAAAATATTAATGTATTAATACTCGACTATGGATAAGGCAAGGAAAGGAAAGGTTCAGGGAGAAAAAATTACGGCAGTTGGACAAGATCACAGAAACAATTCTTCCCAGGACCGGCACTTAAGCTTTGTTCTGTGCTGTGCTCAAACCTCTAGGCCACAGCTCTCATGGGGTATCACATATTGCGTAGGGATGAGTTTTCAAAGTGACCTAAAAGACAGGCACTGTACTCCCTCTGAACGGCAATAGGATTGAGGAACCTAATATCCCAATGCCTTTCTGAAAATCTCGTCTTACATACAGTCTTAACCACTTCATCACACTCACTAAATAACATCAGATACTTGTTAACAGCATGTGTATTAGTCACTGAAAATAATTTATCCCTGCTTTGAGACTCCTCTAAAGAAATTATACCTCTCAATTTCTCAGCCTTCTCTATATAACACCTGAGAAGTAATTGTTTTCATTTTTCTTTGCCTCATTGATTGTAGAATAAATAATCCATGAATAACTCCCCACCCTCATTATTCTACCGTATCTGGTGAGCAATAACTTTCGGCTCAGCCTGTTTAAGGGCAGTGGCAGGAGGGATGGAGAGGGATGGGAAAGCACAGTCAGACCCTTGAACTCCCCGAGCCGTAAGCCCAGGCCTATGGCCAGGTTGCCTCCGTCACCTCTCGTAGGTGAAAACCGTCATGATACCTCAGTGCAGCCCCCCCCCCCCCCCCCGGCTCGCTCTCGGAGTGGGAATTAACGCCCGACGGAAAACACCCGCAGCAGCGGCTCCTGCAGGCCCAGCTCTCGGCGGGCGGGATGCCGCTCCCCCCCCGCCCCCGCCCCGAATTGGGGCCGCTGGCAGGACTCGCCCGCTGCCCGCCGGGCCCGGATCCCTCCCGGAGGGACCTGGGGGGGGGGCTGGGGGGGACCGGTGCCTCCCCGCTGAGCGCCGAGCCGCGCTCCGCTCCGCACCGCTCCGCGCCCGGCGGCAGCACCGCTGACAGCGGCCCCGCCGGTCCCACCGCCCCCCCGGCCCCCCCGATCCCCCCTCCCGGCCCGGCAGGAGGGGACGAGCAGGCTGCTGGAGGCCGGGGGGGCGCAGAGGAAGGAGGAGGAGCTGGAGGAAGGGGAGGGGAGGGCTAGGGAGAGGATTTTCCCTTCTGCTGCTTTTTTTTTTTTTTTTTTTTTTTTTTTTTTTTTCTGGGAGGGGGAGGTTGCCGCTGCTCCTGGCAGCGTTTCCTCCTGCTGGAGGATGATGAATACATGAGGAGAGAGGCTCCGAGCCTGCTCTTGTGCTGCGGGAGTGTCTCTTCCTCCCTCTCTCCCCCTCGCCCCGTTCCCGTGTGGGTGTGTTTGGCTCCCCGGCTGCCTGTGCGTGCACACCGTGTAGATATATCCGAGCGGGGAGGTTATTGCCAGCTTCCCTCGGCAGCGCTGCGCTGGGCAGGAAGGAGGGCTCAGCTGCAGTGGGAGCATCAACAGCAGCATTAGCAGCACCAACAGCTTTTTCGCCGTTCTCCCTTCCTTTCATCTCCATCTCCCTTCCCTCCCTTCCCCACGCCCCCACCCCCCACGTCTTTTTGGGCATTGCTTTGTAAAATTTCTCTTCTACAATCTTTGTTATTTGATACTTCGTGGCTTTTTTTTTTTTTTTTTTTTTTTTTTATCTCCACCCTGAGAAGGAGGCATAGACACGCACACACACAAACACAGAGAAATAAGAGAAAGAAAAGTACCGGGACTTATCCTGCTGCTGCAAACCCAGAGATAGCAGACGAAGAGGGGTTTGGCTTCTACCCCAAGGTAAAGCCCAACCCCCTTTACCTCCTCACCACCTCCTCCGAGAAAGAGAGAGAGAAGGAGCCAAAGTGGAGAAAAGCAGGTCTTCTGCGGCTGGCCTTTGGAGTACAGGGAGCCGGGGAGTGAAGGATGGTTGTGGCTACCCGAGCTGGCTGCAGGGCAGCTCTCTTCCTCTGGATTTTCAGCAGCATGAGCTGCAGAGCCAGGACTGCTCTGCCTGCATCTCGTAAGTACCCTTCTCTAAGATATACAATTTTAGCTCTGCAAGAAGCCAGAGGGGAATTCCCACAACTCTGGAAGGTTGGTTATTTCTTCTCTGCTGGTGAATCCTGTGTTTGATTTTCTGCGTAGTTGGATGTGTATGTGTGCACTGTGGTTTAGTCCTGTTCTCAGTGCTCCCCATCAGGTCTTCCTTAGTGTAGATTATTTCAATGGTAGCTGATGTGGAAAGTTGAAAGACCTGCTCTATGATACAGTCGTGATTCTGCAATGGAGTCAGAGGGGGAAAGGAGTCAGATAGAAGCTGTTGAAAGTTTAGGGGTGGTTTCATGTTTGCTTGGGTTGGTTTGGTTTGTTTTTTCCCACCTTCCTCAGAAGGTATGCAGTTTGCATTTGTAAGTACTTCCACAGCTGTGTGAAGGAAAAGAGAAAATGTGAGCATTTTCCATAACTAGAGTTTTATCGAGCAGCAGCAAGAGAAAATTTTGCTTCATTTTAAGAGGAAAGAATGATGGTGAGTTGATGAGAGGGAACTCAGCCAGGACAGCTTTTCTTGAGAGTGAAGTTTTGCTTCCCATAATAAAATGAGCAAAGGTATTTTAGAGGAGGCCAGCAACTGCCCCCCTAGGGAGGCAGAAATAGTGGAGAAATCATCAAGCATCTGCCGAAATGCTGAACTTTGGACTGGAGGAGTGCAGGTCACCTATACAGGACCCAATTCTGCTATTGGTGTCAAAATGACAGTGTACTCATTGATTTCAATGGATCAAATATTTAACATTGCACTTAGGTATAGTTTCCAGCAAAACATTTGCAGGTAGATGTCAGTGTTAAGTATTTAGTTGTTTCTCTTCAGAGAGACCATGTAAAGCATTTGCCATTTGGGAAGTATTTTTGAAATGCATACTGAAATGAAGCAGTGCATTTTTATAGAATCATCAAAAATAGACACTACTGTTGACTTCCTCTGCTGTTTGTAGAGGAAAGAAATGTCCTGAGATGTTACAGATAGATGTGTTGGGATTGTGTGTATGTGCATGGGAGCTGATTCTACTGACCAAGCAGGGAATTGTCTTGGAATGTAATAGATCTCTACTGCAGTATATACTATGTGGATCATTATATTTATTTATTTGTTTCTTTGGAGGAGGACTGAACAATGCAATGATTAGGGAAGTGGAGCACTGCTATACTTTCTCAGTGGGTTTCTATCTGTTACCATCTGATACCTATTGAAAAATAAATCAGTGTTGCTGTTCCAGGGATTTGCTTACACTTAGACATTTATTTGCATGTCAACAGAAAATGTACAGCAGTGTCTGCATTGTATCTAAGTCTCAGAGGCTATAGGATGTTCAGTTATTTTTCTGCCTCTGACTGAGGAGAAATATTGATCTTGAGGTTTACTGCTTAGTTTTGACCAGCTATCTAATTTTTCTTCTGAATATTATTGCTTCATGGTCATCTCTCAGGCTCTGCATAACAGGAATATACAGGGGGGAAAAAAAAGATTTATGATTTAGGTTGTCAGAAATCTGTTTTTGGAAAACAAAGTTCCCTATACTGCTTTTCTATAATAGGATTTCTGAGCTTTTCCTTTGGTCGTTCAGTAGTTCATGGCTGTAGTTTAACATGAAAATGACCAGCAGTGGGTTACTTGATTACCCAGCAAACAAGTCTTTAACTTTTCAGAGAAGTTAGTTGAGAAGTTAATGATTGTAGTAACATCACTGTAACCAGGAATTCCATGAATAAAGGATATATATAATCTTAATTACAATTTGCTCATATACATTTGCATCTTGACAATTTTTTTTTCAGATATTCAAAATTTCTTTATATTAATTCACCTTCCAAGAGCTTATACAATACGGTCCTTATGGAGTGTATAGCATTTCATTTCTGACTCACTTCTAAAAGTGAAAGTGGAGCTAGATTTGTTTACTAGGAACAGAAATATAGCTAGAAGTACACATCATCCTTAAAATCAGTGTTCACATTGCAGTACATGCTTAAAATTCTTGTAAAGACATGCGGGTGCTTGGGAAGTGGTACAGTAGGAACTCAAGTGCTGTGTCACAGTGTTTTGGTGCGCCACTTAACTGGTTATTCCGTTGCACGCTATGGTATACAGACTGGTCACTATGCTGTATTTTCTGGGATTTTTTTGTCACTGTGTATGCAACTGGTTGTGAATGGCATTGGGGAGTTTTGTTCTCCTTTGACAAGAGAATGCAATTTTTAATCTCTTTTTTTTTTTTTTTTTTTTTTTTTTTATCTCATCAGTTGCTTTTGAACATCATATTGGGAATACTTCTGAAAGAATTAAAAATTGTGTGAAATTCAACTCTGATGTAAAACTGATTTCTAACTACATTTTTTTTTCTCCTCTGTTGCTGCTTTATGATTTAACTTTGAAGTCACTGACAAAAAAATAATTTATTCTCTACAGTATTTTTTACTAAGTATGTAAGATTCATGGTGTGCAGTGAATTATGAATCCCTATATGTGAGCTTGCTAGTCAGTATTTTCTTACAGTATGCTTGTGCTGACAGAAAAAGATACAGTTTTCAGAAAGAATAGAATGGGACATCACTTATGCCAATATACTGCATCTCAAATTTTTGTTTACTTTGCAAAATCAGTAAATCTATCTCTGTCATTAAAATGATGTGTCTCGGTAATACTGATTCAGAAGTGATCCCGTTGAAAGCTTTGCATTTCATTCAGTTTTATCTCAAGATGAAGTGAGTGTTGAAAACCATTCTTATAGTACAGTAAACATACACTATGATACAGTATCATACACACTAATACTCAGATCTTACTGTAAATTCTATTCGTAGTCACGTTTTTCATCTCTTGGCAATAAATTCTTCATATTACTGCATTATTTTTTTTCGAATAAGCATAGAGGGATCAAAACACTCTTAACTTCTGGAATGAAGGCTAATGAACAGCTCAACCAGGAGAGGTCATCACAAGATAAAAAGTAACATGGAAAATACAAATTTAGTGCTTTACAGTCTTTTACATGGCTTAAAGATGGAATGACAAGAATGACTACGGATAGGCTAACTTTCACTTGTGTTCTTATAAAAAAACACACAAAGCAGCGACCTTGTCTTCTTAATAAGAATATTAAGGGGATTCATTGTAGCATCATTCTGCTTCTCTATGAAAGCAACTCACTTAAAAAGTAATTGTCTTTCACAACTAGGTTTTATTTCTGGTTGTGTCTGTTTATGCACAGTGCAAACCTGATCAGCACAGGATTCTTAAAACTTCTAGTTCTAATACTTTTCATGCTTTTGCAGTAGGTCCCATACCACTGCTGAAGTTGAAGTTTAACCCCATTTTACAATATTTGATGCAGAAATAAAATGAGGGGCAGGTATAGAAAATTATTAAGATTTGTGTATAAGCAAAAATATGCATCTTTTAGCTTTGACTGCATAGCACCCAGACTTTCCTTAATAGCTTGTGTAAGTGAAAAAAGTATTAAAATAGTGTAATGTCCCTTTGAAAGAGCAAGGCATTGTACAAGAAACTTATTTTAGGAGTTCTGGGCTATATAGAATTAGAGAATCTGTCCTTCCAGTTCATGGTGCTTGAATGTCGGGTATGTGGGGATGTCATATATTCTATTAGATTCACATTCAAGAATAGTTCTCTTCCAGATAATTTTTCAGACACAATGGTATTTTGTGAAATCTGGTCAATTCCAGTTGTGTTTCTGTTACATCTGATTAACATTTCTTAGTTTAGGTCCTGTTGCCTGGATGTAAACTCAGAAATCCCACAGAATTTAGTTTTAAGTATACAAAATCATTTTCATGTAGGTTTAACACTGAATAATTTTTCTTACACCTGAGTGTCAAAGCACTTACAAATATACTATACTTTTATACTGAGGGCCTAAGTTTCCTTTAAGACCATAGGATTTAATAACATTAAACATATACTTCCTTTTTTCTCTCTTTTAGAACACTTTAGATATTAATTAGACAAAAATTTACATCCATCATTTATAATACTACTGTTATTTAAGGTGCTATACATCACTACGTAATAAAATTAATATACAACAGGTAAACAACAGTTTGTTAATTGTTTATTATTTAACAATATTGAACTGAGTTACTTGGTGATTTTTTATATGAATGTGCTTTTCCTAGAACAATATGTTACCTTATGTTAATGAAATAGTAATAAATAGTCTGATGTCATTTCCAAATTGCTGACAGCATCTAGTTCCTGTGTTGGTGCTGAAAAGCTGAATTTTCAAAGACCTTAACTTCTGTGTATGCAACATCACACACGGCCTGATTGAAGGCATCCAGTCTATATACAGAAAGTCTGATTCAAAGGTTGATGTGGTCAGTGGGCATTGAATCAATTGCAAATGTCATTGAATTAATGTTTTAAAAACTGGGTTTTGCTTGGGTTCTTTTTGCTTTTCTCATGTTTTTAGTTTCTTTAATTTTTTTAAACTCTGGTGCAATAATATGGAATAAGACACAAAAAGTGCTTCAGTAAGTGATCCAGTCTGCAAGTAAGTTTGAAAGTGAAGTTAAAAACTCTGAATTGAAAACCCGTCTCTGTGAACACTGGCTGTTTCTTTTGTAAAGAGACGAGAAATATTTTCTGGTTATCTCTCATTTTTTTTACTCAGGGTAGTTTTAACACATTTGAAAGATGCAGTTGTGACAGGAAACTCTTTATATATTAATCAAACATTAGAAACTGTAGATCTACTTGGATAGCTCACATCACTATGGATCTGTGACAGACAGTAGGTTTTCCTATAGGAGTTCTTTAGGAATTTCAGCTTGAATCTCTAAATCTTATAAAGCATCAGATCTCATATTCAATGTTTAGTAATTATAGCAGAGTATTTAAGACTTTGTCATACTCTTAATGTTTGGGTCAATTACAAACTATGAACAAACTATGGGGGTTTTTTACATTTTTTTTTTTTTTCTACATATGCAGAAGCTGATCTG